TTAATTTTACTCTGGTGATTACCTTGGGTAGGGATGCAGGTTTTTGGCATGACAACCCTTTTTTAGTGTATTTTGCGAAGTTTTTTTCAACCCTTTTGATTATGAAAAAAAACCCTGACAAAAATATCCCCTGAACAGACATGTAATTTTTGACCTCACGACCTTGACCTTGGAGGTAAAGGTGCCCCGGTTTTTTGCGCATGACACATCATCTGATTATTGTGTAACAATTATTGCAAGTATTTACAAACAGCCTGAGATAAGAAAGTTAATGTGACTGGGACCAGACTGAATATACCCTCAAAATAGACAATTGACCTTGACGAAAACAAGTACGAAACTTCGACACCTGAGGTACGGTCTGGTGTTTGTGCGCATCTGACACAATCGTCTCAATTATAACAAACATTTGGTGCCAACTTATCTCAAATTCCTTTGATTAAATGACAAAGTTATGACCGGACACGCCAATTACCCTGTACACAGATATGTTAATATGTTGACCTCCAATGTTACCTTGAACTTGTAAGGGAGGCAACTGGTTTTTGCGCATGAACTAACAATAGTCTGATTATTATGAACAATTATGGCAAGTATTTTACAAAAACCCCTTCATAGATCCAGAAATGTTATGGACCGGGACACGAAATATACCCTGTAACAGACTATGTTAATATTTGACCTCCAAGTGTGACCTTGACCCTTGAAGGTAGGTGACTGCTTTTTCCGCATGACACATCGTCTGATAATTGTGAAACAATTTATGGCAAGTATTTACAAAATCCCTTCATAGATAAGAAAGTTATGGACCGGACACGAAATATACCCTGTAACAGACTATGTTAATATTTGACCTCCAAGTGTGACCTTGACCTTGAAGGTAGGTGACTGGTTTTTGCGCATGACACATCGTCTGAATTATTGTTGAACAATTATGGCAAGTATTTACAAAATCCCTTCATAGATAAGAAAGTTATGGACCGGACACGACATATACCTCTCAAATAGGCAATTTTGACCTTGAATCGAGCAAGTGTGACCTTTGACCCTGGAGGTAGGGCGTCTGGTTGTTGCGCATGACACATCGTCTTATTATAATAAACATTTGTGCCAAGTTATTTCAAATTCCTTTCATGAATGACAAAGTTATGGACCGGACACGAAAGTGTGACGGACGGACAGACGGACGGACAGACGGACAGACGGACGGACGGAGCCTATTTCTATATCCCCCTTTTTTCTTCGAAAAGGCGGGGGACAATTAATGTACTTCAATGTGACTGTAACACATTTACCATGCAGTTTTCATTGTGATGTTTTTAACCATGTTTCAGAGCGAGAAATAGCCACCACAAGACCTTTTGTTCTTTTCTTCTCAAGATTATAAATGGACAATATTACGTGTTAGTATGTTGTTACGAACAAAATAGTAAATTACCTCACTATAATAATGACGTTTTTCCTAACTGTTACGAGGGACAAATATTAGCAAATGATACAACAGGCTTATCTTATTTCCAGATGAGGTTTTGTTTCATCCACATATTTGATGTTAATTAGAGAATGAACACAATAGTGTTTGTCTTTAATTCAAATTTGAAATACATTTGTAGCAGTATAACAAATCCTACGAATACTGACATTGTTGTGGCTAGTGATTTCTCAAATTGATACCTCTAACACAGGAAATGAACAAGAAATATCACTTGAACAAAATGCGAATATACACAGTGACCTTCATTTTTTGAAGCCAGTAAGAATGTAAACTTTAGGCGTTTTTTAGGAAATTAATTTTGTATTTTAATAATTATATGCCCACTGTACACCTCACATCGTCAGGTTTCTGTTGGTGTAAATGTTATGTAGTTTAACAATTTTATAAGCAGGGGGGTGTAATAAACTCGTTGATTTTGTATACTGTCTAATTATTGCTTATTTAACGTTACCTTTATACTTTAGCATCATATGAATATAGATGTATGTGAAATAAACAAGAACACATGTATAGTTCACATATATAAAGAAAAGGAGAATTTTTTTTTTGTTAATTTCAAGATCTCACACGCTACGAATAACACGTTACAAAGAGCTCTACATGTTACAGGTGCCACTGGCTCTTGTTACTTGGTCGGGTGGGGGTTACGTTCATTGAACACCGCCTTTCCTTGTTGATCTTGTTTATCATATTTTGAGTTCTTATAAAAGTTAAAACACAACAGTTTACATATGCTTTCATGTGACATCATACTGTTACAGTAATAAATTCGTAATAATATGTGTTAAATAATAATGCTTGGTTAAATATTATATAGCGTTTGCCGTTATTATGCCTCATTGATTGTTCTTAAAACTTGTTCTGTCAGTAAGTTATATTGTTTAATATTTTGTTTGTTGAATTTTGTTGTTTTTCCGGTCTGGCGTGGCAGCCTGTATGTTCCATCTTTTAGCATGCTATCCCCCTCATTTATATATCAATTCTTCCCCTTTTTAAGCGTCTAGACAGCTCCCCTCTATGTTTTTATACAACTTGAGAATATTGTTGCATCATTTATTTATTAATAATATGTACCATTTGCTGTTTTGGTGTTTGAATGAAAATATTATAAAAAATGCGCAACCTTTAAAAGGGTTTGAAACAAATTGAATTATATAAGCCAATAGCGATTATTAAACATGTAGAGTATAAAAAATGTACATGTCCTTACATTTAAATAATTAAAATAAATGTTACAACCAAACAAGAAACACAGCGTTCATATATAAGTCAAAAATATTAAATGTTTCATCTAAAATGAGAAAGCATTATAATTTTTAATGTCACTATATACTTACCGTAGGATCAGTATTTGTTTAAAAAGATTTCGCAAGATGGTACCGATATGAAAAAGCTCTGGGATCACATTTCGTTATCTTAAGTTAAATCATACCATACACAGGGGTAATGCTATTTCGTTGCAAATGAAATGTCAACAGTCACAACTGCTAACTTGGCAATTGAGTTTGAACATTTCTACAGTTAAACAATTTGAATGGGAGAAACTGAAGCGGTTGGTGAACACCCTAGATTTGGACGTCTTTACTGAACGACGACATGTATTGCCAACCTTTGTCAATCAAAACGGTTGTTGACTGGAAAGGCAATTTAAATAGCCACATTATGCACAATCTGTAATAGTCACGATTCTTAAAATAGATAAATACAGAATCCCTAAAGAAAGCCCAACACGGCAAAATTGAAAATGTTGCAGGCTCGGTTTGATTGAGCCTGTTCATGGACGGTACTGGAAAGTGCAAGTTACCGTCCACGCCCCCTAGCACCGGCTTAAGCAGAATTCAACATTTAAACATGAAATGGTAAAATTTTGAATTTAGAAACATCCGCAGATGTGTTCATACGGCGGTTATCATGGAGCCTTCAATGTGACACAGTAGTGTCATTCCATGAAAAGCGGCGTATGGTCAAAAAAATATGAAAAACAAGATCAACAAGGAAAGGCGGCGTTCAATGAACGCAAATACCTGTATAAGTAGAATTCAACATTAAATATGAACTGGTAAAGTCATAGTATCTCGCTTTTTATTACTTTTGTAACTTCTTTCTTTAAAAAAGCGTTTAGTGCTAGGGGGCGTGGACGCTAACTTGCACTTTCCAGTACCGTCCATGAAAAGGCTCAATCAAACCGAGCCTACAACATTTTCAATTTTGTCGTGTTGCACTTTCTTTAGGGATTCTGTTTCTATCTATTTTAGGGGGCGTGGACGGTAGCTTGCAATTACCGGTAACGTCCATGGAACCGCCTTGGTGAAACCGATTTTGAAATATTTCAATTTTCCCGTCTTGAGCTTTCTTTCGGGATTCTGTTTTTACTCTGTTTATTGTGAGACCATTTTGAAAAAGCCAGACCTTCACAAAAATAAGATGTCAAAATTTTAAAACGTTTCAAAATATAGAGAGTACATGCTTGACATTAATTTATTGTATATCGTTATTATTTATACACTTTTACTAAAAAAAGTCTCCTTTTTTATCTAATGGGTCATTATGATAAACCCATGTCATTCTTTTTTTAAAGTGGGGCAATTTTCACATTTTGCCGTTAACTTAGAGATATGAATGTTTCAATATTGATGTTGTTTAAAATTTTTTGCGGTAAGTAATTAAGATTTTTACGTCCTGCATTTTTGTTGCCCAAGTTTGATAAGAACCCAATAAAGAAAAAAAACGGGTACTTGTAAAAAACCGCAAAACGTAATTGTTAAAGCAATGATATTAACTGCTTTATGTGAAAATATAATTTGCTAGTTCAATTTTTAATTCATTTCATCTGTAGTAAAGCAAACATGAATATAAAGGTCGTCAAGGGTGAGGGGCGCCATACACGGAACGTAGCCCCAAATACTTTATCTAGTGTTTGTTTTAAGACTATTATAAAATAGAAGAGAAAGTACTGAATTTCTAAGGCTAAATTGTTGTTATTGAAAAATTAATAATACAGTGTTGCGAGCATAGTAAAATATTATTGTAGGCCTAAATGTGGTTTAATTTCATTTCTCCAAAAGTTTTTCTTAGTTTGGTAAACGTTTACAGTTTCTAAAGAGTTCATCATTGACCAATTATTTGGAACTTCTTTTCTTTTCATTTCTTCTTGGCAGTTAGTACAGTTAAAGTGATTTAATATTTTGTATGGAAGTCAAAATACTACTTTGTTTACATTTTGCTACCTTTATGACAAATTAGTTTGCATTTAGCGCTACTTTTTACAGTTTACAAGCATCTAACATGTTCATTAACCTCAATTTGAAGATTATAAAATACATATCTACCTTTTCTAAATAACTAGAAATGTATTCGTTTCTGAGGAATAATGTGCCTTTAATTGAAAATTGAAACTAAAAAAACTGTAGAAGTCTTATTTACTTATTGGTGTGTTGCCTTATCATAATTATTCTATTGTATTTTGAATGATATTATGATATTTAAATCAATATCTGTAGTAATTTGTTTTCTTTCTTTTCAGTTGCGTACGTGTATGGTGAGAACTGTACCAGTTCTGCACAGGAATGTACGAGTTTTACATGTTCTCCAAACTTCCATAAAGAATGTGTTAACATGGTGTGCACGTGTAATCGTAAGAAATACTTATAATATTTACCAAAATTATCTTTATATGAGCAGAAACAAAACATTTTGAGTTCACGCATAGTTTTAAAGATTTAAGATCATAGTTTTTTCGTAAAACACTTTTTAAAAGTTTAAACTGTTCTATTTTGAATTCATTACATGCGCAAAATGTTGAAATAAATCTACCATTATGGTGTTTCATAAATTCAATACGTTTAACTTAATGACAAAACACTTTTGAAAGATGGAGAATATTACGTCCTCATTAATATATATATTTCTTTATATCATGATACGTGCACGATATATATATCGCAGATTATAATCTACATAAGACATCCAATTAGTCAGGTCATTTTTGGATGAAATTATTTCTGATACTTATTTTATTTTTAGCAAATCAAGCCGTTACTTGCTATTTTCAATCTGATTGTACGAACAGTGATCAACTACCAAATTGTAACAGAAATTGGCATTGCGTAGACAACAGATGCAGATGTTATTAACAATTCTATTATCGAGATACTGATATTAATTTGGCAAGACAACACTAGTAAAATCACGAAGTATATTGTCGTTTGAGTTTTGATTCTATTACTGTAATTCCGTGACTAACTAATAATGTTTTGTCTGTAAACGATAAACTTAAGGCGATTTTGTAGGAAATAAATTTTGTATTTCAATAATTTCAAGTCCACCGTACGCCTCACACCGTTAGCTTACGTTTGGTATTTAAGTATTGTTATATTATATTAATATATTTAATAACATATAATTTATATATTATTTTAAATATTGTTTATCTAAATATTGCTAAATGTTTTGTCGTTTTTGAGAGCATTCAAACACAATTTTAGAAGCAAGAGTGTAATGACAAAATGAAAATGTTAATTTCAAGCGAGCTTATACGCTACGAATAAATGCTAACGTGCACACTTTCGACCACCTAAAGCTGCATTTGACTGTTGTTCTTTTCAGTATACATGATGCGTGATATTATTTTTGCCTGATTTAAAAAGAGTTCCGCATGTAACAGGTTTAAATTATTATTTAGGTACAGTTTACATATGCTCTCAGGTGAAATCATACTGTAATAAGTTTGTAAAAATATAGGTTTTATAATCATTCATAAACTATTTTATAGCGTTGGCCGTAATTTTCTAAAAAATATATTTCCTACACCGTTATTTGAGTGCGGACAAATGGAAACTAATTTCCACCATTTCTTTGAAAGCCAAAATTTTAACACATATAGATAAAAGCTATTTTAAATTATTGATAATTTCAACATTACTCTTAATTCTCTTTTTGGCAAGCCTGATAACCCTGATACAGATAATGCCACTATTTTCAGATATTTTCAGATTTTTTTTTCTTAACCTAAAATGTTACAACCTTCCAGGAAACGGAAGGTTCATATATGAGCAACAATTATTGAATGTCACTTAATGATAAAAAAGAGGGTCATGATGACACTTCTATCGCTCACCTGCTTATTGAGGCTCTGAATTAAAAATGTTAGCAATTATTGAAAGGCAGATATAATGCCATAAACTTAAACTGATATCATAAAATTCACATCTGCACCTGAAATAGTGTAAAAGTTTATAAGGGTTTTCCATATATGCTTTTTTATGTGATGTCACCTTTTTTGACCTCAGATAGATGACTCATAGTTGAACCTGAAATCATACAAACACCCTTTCTGACATATTTCTAGGATATTTGGGCTAAAAATGTACCCTCTAGAGTGAATATAAAGTTTTTCCATTTTTGGTCAGTGTGAACTCGATTTTGACCATGGTTGACGCATGTTCAAAGCTGAGCTATAAATCATCAAAACAACCTTTCTGACAAATTTTCAGGACAATTGGGATGAAAATATTTCATCTAGAATGTAGACATTTTTTTTCCAAAATTTGGATTGTGAGACCTAGGTTTTGACACCAAGAGACCCATATTCAAACATGACCTAGAAACTATCTGACTATTTTCCAGGATATTTGAACCTAAACAATATCCTCTACTGTTAGCAAGGTTCTCCCATATTAGGACTGTGAAACCTAGTTTTTGACCATAAATGAACTATATTTGAACTTATTTTGTTGTGAATAATGCTTCTGAGGGATCACTTTGTTTCCAGAATTTTGTACTTCACAACAGGTGTCAAGTGCTGTGTGGCAGCCGTAAAAAGTTGCCCCGTACTTCACTTCAGTGTTGTTATATTTTCTGGTCCTTCGGGATCATTGATGCCAACACTATAAAGTGTTGAGAATTGAGTACCGCTCAAGCCGGTGCTAGGGGGCGTGAGGGATGTTGCACTTATTCATTATCCCTCATGTACAGACTCAATCAAACCGAGTCTGCAATTCTTATGTTATTTTGTTGTGAATAATGCTTCTGCGAGATCACTTTGTTTCCAGAATTTTGAGCTAGAAATCATACAAACAACCTTTATGACTAATTTACAGAATATTTGGACCAAAACAGTAGCCTCTACATGTTTACGAGGTTTCTCAATATTTGGGTTGTATAATCTACTTTTTGACCCAAGATGACCCATATTCGAGCTTGAGCTAGAAATCATCTAAACAACATTTTAATCAATCTCTAGGATATTTGGATCAAAACAATGGCCTCTAGAGTGTTACATGTTTTTCAATATTTGGTTAGTGTGACATAGTTTTCGACCCCAGATAGCCCATATTCGAAACTGCTTTAGAAATTATCAGAATAACCTTTCTAAACAATTGTCAGGATATTTGGTTAGGGCACACGCAAACAGTATTCCATAGAGTGTTTGTCCATATTTTGAAACCTATGCTCCCCGCCCTGGGTGGGCCAATTTTGATATTAGAGGCAAACTTTGAACAACTTTGTAAGAGGACATAAAGATGATATTATTTACCTAGTAATATCAAAGCTCTTAGCCTTACATCTTCAGAAAAGAAGATGTTTAGGTGTTTACTATATGTACATAATGAAAGTCAATGATCCCCGGAGAGTGGTTAATTTTGACCCAAGGCACCGAGTCCAATCGTTCACTATGTTTCCCAGGCGGAGAACGCATGAAGATATCAATTTTACAGGTGGAAAACAGATACTGTGGTTAGAAAATTGTCTTCAATTTCTTTGTAAATGCATATTTCACAAAACTGTATAGCCTATTCTGATCTCGTATGATTATTTTATCCGACAGGCATCCCAAACTCGCCAAATCTTTGCTAACTTATTAGATCATTATCGACAACTGCACAAGAAAAGTCACAAAATTGGTAAAATCGCTCTTTGATAGCCAATAACTTGGCATCCAAGCAAACTTCTACACACTTGTATCGCTCTAAAGGTTCTTTATTAACATATCCTCATCCACCAAAAGCCTGCTCTATTTCTATTCCGTATTTTTGGAGTATAATATCGTTTAAGCGAATTTTCAAAATGAACGCATGAGCCGAACTTTTCATGTGGTTTCATCAGATTGCAAAATGAACGCATGAGCAGGCGGATTTTTCGGTTACTCCAGTTTTCATGGATAGCTCACATGTTATCGATCACTGAACCTTTAAATTCAAAAATTTTCGTTCCAAATGTTTGAGCAAACAGAAGTCCCTATTTTCATACCTTATGACGAATTGCTTATAAGCAATAGATGAAGGTCTGTTCTGTTCTGTGGAAATATAATAAATCCTCATTTCTAAAACTTTGAGTAAAATATTTGCAAAATACAACATCATTGGTTGATGAGACTTAAATTGCCTGTATTCTATATAGAGTATATTGAATAAGTGTGAGTTCAATACTAAATTTATTGCAGGAGTTGAATAAAATTATATTATGCGAGACTCTGGCGCGCATTATATTATTTTATTCAACGAGTGCAATAAATTCAGTAATGAACTTACACGAATTTAATATTCTATTTATCACATACCAAAAATAAAGACCGTTTAAAGTGAAAAAAAGAGTCATTTTTCATTGACGCGCCTATAGTATAACGCTAACATTTATCATGCAACTGCTATGGTAACTGCCCGATAACACTTGCCTGATAATTATTTTTGATATCAGGTCAGTAACCTGATATCAAAAATAAGCCCCGCCCATTTTAACGGACTTTTTTTCAATTGCTTATATTCTTATTTTCATCAGCATTTGAATTCTTCAATGTAATCTCATACCCTTACAAGTCTTAATCAAGATGCGATATTTATTTATTCATTATTTCGATTTCAATTACGAATAAATTAGATAGCGAATATTTTTAGCACCAACTAAATGAAGTGACGTCATAATTTATATTGCAAATGACATCATCGATGTTCACGTCATACTATACATGTAATCATAACAAACAGGCTGGACGATTTTCTTTGAGAACTTGTAACTGTTTACTTAATTTCGCCTGATTATTATTTAATAAGTGAACAAATTGTTTTGTTTAAAAAATAAGACGCATGTTTGTGTAGCTTGTGTTTGATTGCCGATTTGACTTTTCTTTGATGAACTTTTGAATTTGACAATTCAAGACAAATATTGCAGTAAAGTTTAGTTTATGTGATTCTAAGTGGATTTTTGGATCGATGTTTAAATTAAAGGTAAGAATTTTATCGTATTAGGCCTACATTCTGTTGCATCTTTTAACCGAGTCGAAAGAAAAAATGGCGGCCATTTACAAATTCTAAGTTTCAGGGGCGGAGGAATTTGTTTTCAAGAATTATTTCTTTGAACAAAACTCCCCCTTTTTAAAGAAATTCGCTATTTAAAAGTAGATTATTTTGTTATTTTGACAGTTATTGTGTAATACATGATAAATAGAAAAACATGCTACTGTCTTTTGATATCAATTTTATCAGGCTCGGCTGATATGGGCAGAAAGGGCTCGGCAAGCCTCGCCCTTTCTAGCCCATATCAGCCTCGCCTGATAAAATTGATATCAAAAGACAGTAGCATGTTATTCTCTATTTAGCGCGTCTTTACACTATGTTTGTATAACGCTAATGACGTCACGTCAAAATATGTTATATGCAATACCATAATTATTTTAAACTCCTCACAGCGGTTACGTCACGCTTTTCTACTTTATCTAATCCTGTTTACAAGGGGAGATCACTGCGTAGGAGATTGACCATATTTACGGAGTTGCAAAATCGGCATGGGATTAAAGATGTTTTAGCATACACTTAAAGATCCTGTGACTCAAAATTTTATGTTCTTGTTGAAAAAATCGTTTTGCTTAAATAAAGAATTAACAATGTTAAAAGTTACAGAAAACCTTTTTGATAAGGATATTGCCAAAATTTTTAAATTTCGATAAAAAAGAAGATAATTAGAAAATCTGTTTTTGGTATAAAAATCAATTTGCATTCCAATAAAAATTTCACAACCTTTTTTCCTCAAGAAATGTCCAATTCTTAAGTATATGTTTTTTCATAAGAACTGACTTTATATACAACTTTCGCAAGGATGTTACATCCTAGCTTATTTATAAAATACAGGATCTTTAAGCAAGAATATATATATCACATTCTTTACAACAAAATGAACATTTAAGAAAAATGTTGAAAATACAAC